TAAATCACAGTATTCACACACTTTACTTATGGTGCGTACTGTTTGCTTGACTCAATTATCTTCAATCTGTCTGCATATCTCTCTCCCATTGGCTTTATTTGCTGGGCTTATATACTAAAAAAGAGGGTGCCTGGAACAAACTCGGGCCTCCCCGATAATTCATGATCCTTCCACAAACTCCAGCGCGCATGCTCCCAGCATCACTCGACTTCCGCTGTTGTAACAATAACATAGAATTTTACCCTCAGTTTTCCAAACTTTCTGTAAATAATATATTATTTTCTGGTTTTGCAGTATCTGCAGAACATCATGTGCTTGTTAAAAGGTTTTTCTGAAGTGTCACAGTTGAGTTCTTCCAGTGTTGATCAATAATTATGCACACTTTCAAAGAAAGTATTTAGTACTTGTAAGAATTTTGAAATGAACAAGTGAACACTGACAACATTTCCTCATCAGTTGTCATAACATGTAAAAGCTTGGGTACATGAGGTGTATAAACACTTGCACATTAAGCTATTTCTCATAAAGAGGAAATTCATTACTTTGCATTGGCATCAAGTGAGAGGGATTTTTTGTATGGTTTTATGTATTCATTCCTACCTTGGGTCTGTACTTTTTGGCATTGCCATCTCTATATTGTCCTTACTTTTTCAAACAGTTTTTATTGCTCATTTCCCCTCTTTTTTTTTAAACAATCAATATTAATGTGTGGCAGTCACTATGAAGCAGCAGTTTTAGCCTGGGGTGATGAGTTGTATTGAAGTTAGTGAAATGTTATACTGCTTCTGCACTTCCTATGTTAAAATGCAGCATTTTGGTGAGTAAACCAATGCAACAACTTCAAGCATTGGTGAGCTAGCTGTTCTGATGCCAGCAGTCAGCAGAACATTTGGCTGTTATGCTACTCACAGGTTCTCTACTTTAGCAATGTTTTTTAGCTATTGAAAATCCTAAAAAAATTTAATTTACGTGGTTATAAAAGTCTCTTAGATTGTTATAAGAGAGATTTGAGATTATGAAAAGCAATACATAATACAGAGCTGCCATTTTTTTTCCAGCCCATCCCTACATTCTAAGCGCTACCCTGTTAATGATGAGATGGATACTTTGAGAAACAGTTATTCAAAAAAGGATACAGATGTACTTCTTGTTAATAAACTGAAACAAGCATGCTGTAAAAAAATAATACTTGGAAGCGACATGCAATAAATTATCAACTAAGGCTTATAACATAATAATAAGAATTAAAACACAATTGTCTTTTCGTATATATTTTATGCATTTATTACAATCATTACAAAGTTGGCTTGTGCATGGTATAATTCCAAGTTAGTACCTAATTTCTTATTTAAGTTGTTTTGTGGACAGGATCATTACAAAACTTTATCAAGCGAATAACAAGAATGAAAATGTTGCTAATTAATAAAAATATTAACATCTGGTTACATTCTTTTGAGACTTTAAAGTGAAAGCTGTAATTTTTTTATTTCCTTAGGCCTCATGAGTTATAAAGGTTACAGTGCAATCACAGCTTATTTATACATAATCGATTTTGGAGTATGTTTTTATAATATTATTTTAAACAGTATAAAGTAAAATATAAAAGCAAATTTATGTGTCATGTTTTTGTTCTGCTACCTTAATAAAATGGTTAATATAGCATTAAAATTTGTAAGTATTAATTTATTAGTCTTGTTATTGTTTATTGAAATCAACTAGCATTATTTCATTTCTAATATATCACATGGTTAAAAGGGCTGGCATGATTAAGTGGATAAAGAATATTGCTTTGTGAGCGTTGACCC